CCTTTTTTTTTTTTTTTTTTTAAAAATAAAATTAATGTACAGAAAGGAAAAAAAAAATAAAAATATAAATTAAATAATAAAGTGGCAAGACACCTCCCCGCCCCGACCAAGCGGGAGGGGGAGCGAGACTGGTACAGGCAGCAAAGCAACAGCGGTAACAGGTTAAAACGAGCCATCACGTACAAGGCAGAACCACGCTCGCGTCGCCGTACAGTCGCTCTTCTCTTCCCTTTACCGCGACCGGGTTTCGCACAGGTTTATTCCGAGTGGATTACAGAGATCGGAAAGGGCTACTTACAGCGGGAGTACAAAGTACAATGTCCATTGGCATATAACAATTCCGTATTTCTCTTACCATTGGACGCTTCAAGAGTGAGTTAGCACAGTTCTGAAAGATGGCGTCCCATCAAACATACACTGCGACCCTGCATCACATGGTTTCAGAGTCATAAACACAGGTCAAAGGCACAAAACCGCTACAATTTTTCTTTAAAAAAAGATTAAAAAAAAAAAAAATCTTTTTTTTTTTTTTTTTTTTTAAAAAAAAAAACCACCAAAAAAAGGTCTCGCAGACGCTGTGTCCTCAGCAGGTGCCGAGAGGGGACAGAGAGGTGTGATAAGTGGGAGTGTTCCTCCGCGTGCCGCCTCCTGCATTTGTGTGGTGCTGTAACAGAATGGTGCTCCTGGCTCTGTGTAGCGCTTTCCCGTGTGCGTGTCTCTCTCCTCTGTAATGGAAATGTGTCTCGGCCCCCGGGGCCCCCGGCTACGGCCTCCTAGGGACCTGTGTGCCTTGGGTTGCTCTGTGTTGGTTTGGGGGTTGCTCTGGGGTTTTTAGGTTTGGTTTGTTTGGTTTGGTTTTTTTTTTTTTTTTTGGTTGGTTTTTGGTTTGGTTTTTTTTTTTGTTTGGTTGGTTTGGTTTTGGTTTTTTTTTTTTGTTTTTTTTGTTTTGTTTTTTTTTTTTTTTTCTCCTCTCCGCTTGGCGCTGATAGGGTTGGCAGTTGAAGACTGCAGGAGAAAACAGCGTAAAGCAAAGGGACTGCCCTCCCAAACCAAACCGCGCTGAGAGCGATCCTAAGGTCTTGGAGGGCCTCAGATCTACTCCGGTCTCCGGTAAGAGCGCTGCTGGGCTGGCTTTGAGGACCCTCCGGGGCTGCGCTCTCTAGGTCTGTGTACATTCGTGGGTTCGGTCTGGTTCTGGGTAAGTAAAGGTTAAATGTCTGCTGTGGCGGGCTGCGCCTCTTTCTCCCTCTGTGCTGTAGAGTCCTTGGGCCACGGTGTTGTGTCCTTGCTGTAATGAGCTCAAGCTGCTGCTTGTTTCTGGATGCTGCGTGTTTTCTCCAGTAAAGGTTCCTACACTGTGTGGTGTGAGGCATGTGCGGAGGCAGGTCACGGCCCAATTCGGGACTTCCGCTGTAGTACGGTCCCCGGGGTTATGTGCAAATGACTGCTCGGAGCTGGGAAAGGCCACGTTACCGCACC